AGATACTCGCCACCTTCGACTTGATGTTGCTGCTGCTACGTCTGCACCGTTACGTCGCTTCGCAAATACTTTACGATGAACGCCGCCACCTGATTTGCGTTGCCTCACCCCCCCCCCCCCCCCACACACTCGCGTCGCTTGACACCAGCTTCGTCCAGCCTCTCTCGACCACCTACCCCTTGAATCGCTTCGATGGACGTCGTTTCAGATATTCGTCTTCGCACGCCTGTCAACCCCTTATCAGTGCCCCTACCTTATTACAGACCAATTCAGACCTTAATGGTCACGCCGTGCCAACTTATACATCTCAACGTTCATCCTACAAAGTCACCATTACAAGGGAGAAACACAAACGAATAGACACAAAATGCCTGTATTGAAACGGCTGTACACTGTGTGGAGCTGAGAACTCAATTTCCCTGTACAAGAATACGGGTAGAGCGTCTGGGCTGACAGCTATGTCGTCACACAGGAACGCATCTCCGACGTAAACCGGAGTATTGCTGTAATTGTAACAATTTTACTGCTGATCTTATTAAGCTGCTGATGATGCTGATGATGCTACCTGTGATGATGATGATGATGGTCACGCTGATTAGTTGATCGCTGATCGCGAAGACTATGTCTGGTCCGGACATTTAGACTATTAATGCGCGATTATGCAAATTCGAGAATTCATTACAAAGCTACTTGGCGTGTCGGGAGAGATACATGACTTAGTAAGCTCTTGCGATATAATTTTCCTTCTTAAGAATTTAAGCCACGACGCTTAACGCGCGCAAAATAAGTGGCGATGTTGAAAATTGAAGGGGAAAGATGGGAGGATTAATTCCGCATTGAGATGGAAATTAACAAAAAAATGCTAAACACAGATTTTTTTACGAAGCGCATTGACCACTCCGCGGTTGCATTGGGGCCGCTTGAAAGCCACAATATCGCGATTATTTACATTAAATGAAAACAAATTTTTACCTCACAATTAAAAAAAACATCAAGAATAATAATAAAATAGCTGATTAACATACGATGAGGGAAACAGCGGTGAGCCCTTGAGATCGCGTCAGTGGATGTAACGTGGCTCGCATTAACTTGAAGCAAAAGCCTTCATTGTACTGCACTTATATGCTTCCGCAAAGAATGCTCTACCCGCCCTCACCAACCAATCCGCGCTGACCAACGTGGTGAAGTACAGTGAAATATCCGACAGTGACCCGCACAGGCGTAAGGATAGCCTCATCCAACAGTGGATTGCACAAAAAGTGCTGTACACGTATGCACGTGTACTCATGTATGTATGTACACAGACACGTGTAGTGTCAGCGGAGCGGGAGACAAGATTTCTCAGGAGCACCTTATTTATTCAACATCTTCAGGTTCACAGGTTCGCCCTCGCGCTCTCCCGAGTCGTCTAGCCCAGCCTTAACAAAACCCTGACCGTGTAACACCGATGGCACCGACTGAGACAGCCAACGACTCATCGGCCGCGCGATATCCAGCGAAGACTGCAGCGATGAAGGCGACGACAGCGACGACGAGTTCACTTCCCAGAACCGGCAGCCATGAGCTCCTGTTCTCTGCCGCTTTTATGCTCTCCGGCGCGGCCTGGCTCCGCCCTGGCCACACCTCCCTTCTCGAACCCACTAGCGGGTTCCAGGGGCTTCCAGATGGGGTCTTCTATGACCCTTGCCCTAGTTCCTCCGCCCTGCCGACACACAGCCGTGTCGATGATCACCGCCGTGTGTGCTGCTCGTCCACCGCAGTTGCTGTTGCTGGACAACAGGCGGCGATATTACACTACACGTGTACTTGCCACCCCCAAAACTTCAAGACTGTTCCCACAGCTCCATATTTAATGTAAACACACCGCACGGCGTGGGTCGTTAAGGTGAGCAGCATCGATGCGGGAGCATAGGGGTACGGTACACCAGTGAATTCTGCTGCCCCACCATCTGGTGCCTAGCACGTAACACAGCCGTCCCATGCCAAGCGAGCGAGCACTGTGCACGTTTAACCCCGCTTGGCGTCCGAGATTGGCCATTCCCCGTGGTTGTGTGTTACCGCGCGCAGACCTCGAGATGCCAAGGGGTGCCCCTGGTGTTTGCAGAGGACGCCGGTTCGATGCCATCAACCCGGCGTAGCCCCAGTGTGCTGTTGTCAAGTCCCAGTGTAGCCCACAAGTCAGCCACAATCGCTCTCTCGTTCCCACAATAACATAAACACATCTGCCCGGAGCCCCAGCCAGGCTTGTGCCAGGATAATTTTAGAAGGAATTCACTCTGCCCTGTGCGATTTAGAGCGGGTGGGTATATATATGTATGAAGCCGTGGGAAGAGTGTTCTAGTTTAGAGAGGGGGTGAAGGCACGTGGACATTGAGCCCCATTTAGGAGATTGATGGAGGCGCAGTTATTCTTGCTCTGCCCAGTCCAACATCTGGGCAGGCGGGGTGCGATCTGCCTGATGTGACTCCGTATGCCCCCAAGGTTCCCACTGGGTTGTGTGTGAGTTCGGCTGTGATGGGATTTCTTCCCACGGCGGCGAAGTATGGCGTTGTGGCTGTGTGGTGGGTGACACGACTCATTCGTCATGTCGCGGTCGTGAGAGCCAGGGCTGGGTTGGATAGCAGGTATTTTGGCATCCGTTGAATCAGTGGTTCGGTGTGTTCATATGGTCCAATTCTACGTTTGCTTCGTGGATTTGTGGCGGTTTATTTATTTAGGGTACCGCTCGCGCGAGAGAGCATGAGACGAGAGAGAGAGAACGTCACAGAGACATGGTGTTCGGAGAGGGAGAGAGAGAGAAAGAGAGATGGTCAATGGAAGGGAGAGCGTGAGAGAGAGAGAGGCAGGACATCTGAAGTAGAGAGAGAGAGAGGGCATGAGAGAGATGCTGAGAGCAGTGGGAGCATCAGAGACATGCTGAATGAGAGGGAATAGAGAGCGCCATAGATACAGAGAGATGCTGAATGAGAGGGAGAGCACGTGGGGGGGGGGGGGGGTGAGAGATGCTGGGGAGAGCGAGGGAGACTAAGGAAGGGACGAGGGCGCGAGACAGGAGGATGCACGCGAGAAACAAAAACAAAAAAAAACCACCGGCTCGCTAAATTTAGCTCGTTGCCATGGAGACACGGCCAACAGCATTGCGGCATTGCCTGGCAACAGCCTCTTCATCTGTGGCTCGCGGTGTGTGAGGATTCTGGGTAACCCCAGCGATATGAACAGCACCTCGGCCGTGTTTTAATTAAATGTTTGTATTTTTTTCTTCTTTTTGCTCAAGATGAACCCCCACCACTCCATCGTGCTATTATCGGCGTGGTCAGGAGACGCAGACTCCATCCGCACTCTCGCGCTGCTGGGCAGTGGTCCCCAGATGCCACAGAGCTTCCTCTTTGAGGTCCCTTCAAGTGACCTCTGACCCACACAAGTAAAGAGGGGGGCCGCACTCCCCCCCCAACCCACTCTGTCGCTGAGTAATATGCTCACCCATCGTACGGCAGGTCAACACAAGATTTAAAAGCGTCAAGAGCTGGAATTTACTCAAAATTAAGTACAGCGCCAAATTGAACTCGAAGTTGTCTTTGTGCCAAGTCCCCGGTGACCAGGCTGAGACCGTGAATTCGCTGCACTCGAGAACCCGGTTTAGTCGCGGGGACCTGGAACCCGGATTTGAACTTAGGTTCGCAGCTGCGCTCTGACGCCCGAGCCACATTCATTGACATTATTTCGAATATTTTGCTGCTATGCATCTCCACGCGATGAGCCACTTTGTTCGATTTCGATTTAAAGCTTTCGTGACTGCAGGGATTCATCTTCTTGGTTGTAATTCTCACGACGTTTCGGCCACAACGCAAGCTGCTTGCGTTGCTGCTTGCGTTGTGGCCGAAACGTCGTGAGAATTATTTTATGTTTTATTTTTATTATTTTATTACTTCCCTTCTACGTGACTTTACCGAAAGAACCAAGAAGATGAATCTCTGCAGTCACGAAAGCTTTAAATCGAAATTTAAAGGATAATAATTGTCAAAATGCAGTTTCCCTTTGGAAGCCTCACTGAGTCTGTGGAGTACCTGTCAGGAGTGTGCTGTTACACGGGGGGATTTGACCGCTTCCAACAACGGCAGTACGGCTTCTTGGGAAAGGAAACTGGGGAACAGAGAACATTGGAGTGGGTGACGCAGATCCGCACAGATGTATTCAAGTATCCGTAGCCACAGTGGTGAGATGTTAACTACCAAGCCACTCAAACCCGACATCACCTGCTCTACGCTAGCAGCGTCCCACTCCACTGCTAACCAGGCTAAACCCTGGCATTGTACATTTCACAAATGTCGTTTGGCAGCGATGAATGGATGGAATTGTAAGGTGCGGCACTCTGAAATATATATTCATGGGATTGGCTTCTGAAATAGTTAATTGAAGTCATCTTCGAAACGGACGTTTCCTTCTCCTCCCACGAGATTATGCGGAGAGCATACGCGCACTTGCGTGGCAGGCGGCCAGCCATGGAGGAATCCAGGCCGGAAGCCAGCCAGTAAAACTTGTTTTGTTCTCATACGGCATAGCTTGATCAAAATAACTCCCCCCGCGTACCTTCAGAAGCCGGCGCCTACGTGGCCTCGCGTCCCTCGTGGCTCCACGTGGCGATGAAAACGGAATGAAAGCCGAAACGACGGTCGATATTTAAGTTTGATGTTTACGTTTTTTTTCTTCTTTTAAAAACATAAAACATCAAAACATCACGAATCCATGCGGCACAATGTCCGCACGTTCGTATTATATCGCACGTACGCGCTACCGGCTCGAGAGTATTATGCCATTAAATAGTTTTTTCCCGATAATTATCATATGTACATCCATGTAAGATAGGTAAGATAGGTAAGATATGATGCTAATCAGTTTGACTAGGTATATAAGGTAGAGCTACGGCCCTTAGCCAATCCACTGCTGGATGAAGGCCTCTCCACGCCGCATCGGTCGTGGGGGTTGGTTTATCGGTGCGGGATGGTGATGGAGTTTGCGGGCCCAGAATCGGTTAAGATATCAAACGCCAGTAATTTGAGCTGTTGGCCGGGAATCGAACTCAGATCGTTGGGTTCCATAGTGCCACGTGTTAACCACTGCGCCATCTATATCACAAAAGTCACATGAATTAAAGTAAACTTAGCGTGATTTCACACTGTAATGGTTGACGAGGAATAACTGTTACATTTTAAAAGCCACGCAAATGTTTATCCTCCCTCACCCCCTCTCCTTCCTAGCCCCCCCCCCTCTCCGCCCCCCCTCTCCAACACTCCAGGGGCCGAGGATCATGGGAACCACAGCGAGCACGGGGAGGCAGGCGGTTTCCGTGGCAGCACAGTACTCCAGTTTCCATGGCGACGGACCGGCGAGCCGCCACCCGCGCTCCAGCGTCGCCGCCGCACCGAGGACCAACTCGGCCATCTCCACGGCAACCATAATCTCCAACACATCAGCCGGTGGCGGCGGTGGCGTGGGTGGAGGCGGTTGTGCACAGTTGCCTGGCAACCGGGCAAAATCCATCATCACCAACAAGGTGGCACCGGTCGTCATCACGTGAGTGGGCAGCCTCTTGCGACTTCACCCAGCGGTGATTCTAGGACCCGGCAAACATTTGGAGGAGAAGGGGGGGGTGTACCTCGGGCTTAATCTCTCATTTTCTATAATGCTGGAATTATCGGCATAAGGCACGACAAATAAGACACGAGGTAACACTGTCCATAATACACCTGTATCATTATACGCTTCTGACAAGAGCCATACAGCTCAGTGCACCCTACGGGCAAAATAAACATAATTTGGTGGTGTCGGTGTTCAGGTTCAACTGCAAGGAAGAGTTCCAGATCCACGATGAAAAGTCCCGAGCCGGCTACATCACGGGACGGATCGCGGACGGACACAGGGAGCACTACCTCATCCAGGTGACACACGCCACGCACAAAGATCCTCCCCCGGTAGAGCCTCGAACAGCCTATTGGAGCAAGTGCTCTTAGTGAGCACCTATAAAGGCCGGCACGGCACACGGAAGGGGTGGGGAGCCAGCAACTCGCCCGCACCGCGTTTGTCTCTTCCCAATGTTGATGTTGACACACCGCACCAGGTACTCATTTGAGGTTGATGGAACCCGATCTAAGAGCTTATTGGCTCACAGGGTCATTCAAAATAAACTACTACTACTCAAGAAGGCCCAGGAGTGGTTTATATATATTTATCACCAGTGATCTAGCCCCCCCCCCCACACACACACGCCTGCGCACAATCACACACTGACCCGCACAAAGAAAACTATCCCCCGTATAGCCTTTAACAGACTTTTGGGGCAAGTGCTGTTAGCGAGCATGAGGGGGTGGGTGGCCAGCACCACGCCCGGCCACCTTTGTCTCCCCAGTGGCGATGTTTACACACCACACCAGGTACTCATTTGAGGCTGAGTCGACCTAGAGGAGGCACAGGACACGGTTCAAATAATCCTGATAGCAATGGTGATGGTAAGAGCCGTGGTGGTGATGGTGAATTCTGTCTGGAAACCAAGCCGTGGTGACCGTGATGGTGGCTGTGATGAGGGACTTGCCTGCCCGCGACTCACGAACTGCATTATTCAAGATGTTCATCAGTGTAACATTTAGAATAATTCTTGACATCACAAAGTGGAACGAAAAATGAAAAAAAACACTCGAAAAAGAGTACGATGGAGAAGAGATGCAAGCTCCAAATAATCAGAGTAATATTCACCATTTATGTCTTGTCCCAATAGTATAGGGCCCTGTTTTACTACTTTTACAATCTAAAACCGCACCCCTCACCCCTTATTGGGGCAATTGTCGAGATCGGCCTCTGTCCCCCCGGGACCGTCAACGTTTAGCAAACGTTGGTATTTTTGTTTTTAATTAATCGCCCCTGGGACCTCCCCCCCAATTTGGCGAGACGGGAACGTGGCCGGGCCGATGAGCGCGTTGCGTGCGGGCAGGCGCGGACTCGCTGGGGACTCGTTAGACGCGAGCCGAGGGAACAACCGCGTTCGAGACATCGGCGCACGACGTGGGAGCACGGGTGGTTGGTGTTGTTGTTGTTCTAGCACGTGCGTATGTGTGTGTGTGTGTTGCTGTCGTTGTCTGCGTGTGGGCTGGGGTGAAGGGTCTCTCGTAGAACTGCCTCCGGTGGAGGGACTTCCACCAGCAGTGGCTCGAGCGGCTAGTGGCAGGGTTGCACCTTCTGGCCGTGCCACGTGACCCGCACGGCCACGTGCGTGCCCCCATTAAAGATGCAGCGGGCTGCCCGTGCCGGGGCACGTGACGTGTCCCTACGCCGATAGCCAGAAGCCCCCCCCCCCCGTGGGGAACCGTCACCCGTATCGGCTCACAGTCCACCTGCACCCCCCCCCCACCAGAGCTTGGCGGGTTTCATATTACAGCGGCACCTCCACACCGTGAGCCAGGGCCTACGGTACTGTGCGGTGGCAGATTGTTGTCGTTATCATCATCATCATAGTAATGACAAAAATATAATAATTCCTGTTCGTATCGCGCGCAGAATTCTCGCGGCGATTCGCCGACCCGGTTACGCCTCGAACGTGAGCACCTTCTCCGGTCCGCGTGTTCCTCTCCCCGTCTCGGCGTGACTCCCCTCCTCCTCCATGCTTCTCTGCACGTGTGTAGTGTTTCAGCTTGTGTTCCACGTTACGTGTCAATGCCCCGCGATTCCGAATCCCGTGTCATGGCAGGCGACAGGGGGACACTCATTTGGAAATCGAACATTGGTATTCCGTCTTCTTGGTTTTTTCGGTAAAGTCACATAGAAGGGAAGTAATAAAATAATAAAAATAAAACATAATAAAATAATTCTCACGACGTTTCGGCTACAACGCAAGCAGCCGTCTTCAGGTGAAGAATGAGACACTGCCAAGCTAGGAGCTTATATATAAGCTGAGTTGGAGGTGGAAGAAGAGCGCCTTAACAAAAGAATGTGAATATCAAGAGGAATTTAGCATATTCATGGGAAATGCGTAGGAGGTGGGCGGGGGGGGTTTCAAAGTCATATTATGCCCATGCATTATGCAGGATCAGCAGCACCAAAGGGAGGGGGCAGGGGGTAGCATTAACAAAGGGAGGGAATGTTAATAGTATGTAGAAGCAATGAAACATGTGAATGGGAGAACGTGGCAGGAGACCCGCAGCGGAGCAAATAATGCATTCCCTGTGGAGAACACAAGATACACAGTTAATGCCAGTGAGTGGACTGCGGTCTGAATACGGCGTTTGCCACGACGTTTTGGAAGGCTGAAAACCGAGTGGCAGATGCCCGAGATGATTATGCTTTTGCTGTTGCATGTGCCGCGTGGAATGCTGCTGCTGCTGGCCACAGCGACGATGCTGCTGCTGTAGACGCTGCTGCCGCCATCACGACAGGCTGTACATGACTGAGGGGGTGAGATGTACCGGTGAAAGGAGATAAGTGGGGTGATAGAAAGCTTCGAGAATAAGGTGGTGGTGACTGACGGCGATGACTGATGGATATGCCAGCAATGATAGTTTTTTATGATAATGGGCAATGCGGTGTGATGATGGTGATGATGCAAATGGGGGGTTGTGATGGTGGTAATGGCGGTGGGGATGATGCAATGGGGGGTTGCGATGATGGGGATGATGCAATGTGGGTTGTGATGATGGTACTGGTGGTGATGATGCAGCAATTGGGGGTTGTGATGGTGGTGATGGCGGTGGTGATGATGCAATGGGTGGTTGTGATGATGGTGATGATGCAATGTGGGTTGTGATGATGGTACTGGTGGTGATGATGCAGTGGGTGGTTGTGATGGTGGTGATGGCGGTGGTGATGATGCAATGGGGGGTTGTGATGCTGGTGATGGTCGTTCGGTCACATCTTTCGTTGCTCGGTTCCGTTTCCCCGTCACGCCCGACCCCGTGACCCCGTCTCTCAGCACCACGTTTAATCCTCCCCTCTTGGGACCAAGGATTTATCCTCCTCGCGATCCCCGTGGGACTTCGGGGAATCCCTGGCCGGGTGTGGCTCACGACCTCGGTCGGTGACCTCCGCCAAAGGGAAGTTTTTTGCGCAGCAGCCCGCGGTTAGACCGGGGCGGCATCTTCTCTCGAATCTGGGAGTTGTTTTGGTTTCCACTGTCGCGTTGCAATCCACCGGGTGCGAGGATTCCGCGTTCAGGTTCTCCCCATGCCGGCCCAAAAAGCCCGCGGCGATCGCGACGCGCCATCCATGAGAATGAGCACACGCGTCTCGAGACATCGGCTGTAGAGAAAACAAAGGTGAACGAAACCTGCCTTCAGTCAGTCCCTGGCGGCAGGAACTCTGTCTCCCCCCCCTCCAGACGTTTGCATCGCCGACAGAGGAGCTGCTGGCTCACCATGGGTCACGGTTGAGCCTCCCAGAGAGTCGGGATCTTTACCGTGCACGGTCATGGATATTAAATAAAAATGTGACTGATTACCAGGTAAAGCCCACTGAGATGTATAGCATTTTTTTCAGAAGAGATCTGGTCACAAATGATAGCTCAACGAAGTGGGCTTATCATCATGCGGGGAATTTATATTCGCAGCCAAATTCTCTAAACACGCGTTTTTAAACATGGAGGGAAAACCCGGAGGACCCTGAGAAAAATCCACGCGACCACGGGGAGAAACATGCAGATTCCAAATATACAGCAGGCGTCAAGGTCAGAATCGAACCCACGATGTCCTGCAGACCAGGCGAGGGAGATGACATCTCCTAGCCACCGTGATGATGATGAGAGAGAGAGAGACACGCAAACTTCAAATATACAGCAGCAGGCGTCAGGGTCAGAATCGAACCCACGATGTCCTGCAGACCAGGCGAGGGAGATGACATCTAGCCACCGTGATGATGATGAGAGAGAGAGAGACACGCAAACTTAAAATATACAGCAGCAGCCGTCAGGGTCAGAATCGAACCCACGATGTCCTGCAGACCAGGCGAGGGAGATGACATCTCGCCACCGCGGCACCTTGATGTGGGTGAACTGTCGCCCCCCACCCCACCCCCTCTGCACTCCCCGTCCAGGGCAAGTACTTCCTGGTGAGGGACCAGCCCCGTGGGGCCGATGTGCTGGGCACGGTGTCGCAACGCGGGGCCCCCAATTTCCGGCAGGCTCAACACGGCCTCCCTGTCTACGGCATGGGGCAGCCGTCCCCGGCGGGCCTGCTCAGCCTGCTGCAGGGCATGTGTGACGCCGGCCACACCGTGAGAGCCCAACACACGTGCATCACACCACATGCGCACCGCACCACACCACACGCGCACCACACCACACGCGCACCACACCACACGCGCACCACACCACATGCGCACCACACCACACGTGCACCACACCACACGTGCACCACACCACACGTGCACCACACCACATGCGCACCGCACCACACCACACGCGCACCACACCACACGCGCACCACACCACACGCGCACCACACCACACGCGCACCACACCACACGCGCACCACACCACACGTGCACCACACCACACGCGCACTACACCACATGCGCACCACACCACACGTGCACCACACCACACGCGCACGTGGCCAGGGATGTGGTGGAACAAATATTCCTGCCCTTTATCAGTACACTGCTAGATGAAGGCCTCCCCACGCTGTGTCGATCATGGCGGTTGTTTGACCATATTTCCCCACACCGGCCCCTGCGGGTTGGTGAAGTGGGGGGGTGGGGGGGGGAGCCGTGAGCACATTTACGCGTCCGTGCGTATTTGTCCGCGACGCATCAGCACTGGGAGACAAAGGCGGCCGGGCGCGGTTTGTGGCGACGCATCCCTCCCCTAGCGTGCCGCTCCGGCCTCAACAAGGCGCTCGCTAGCGGCGCTCGCCCCACCGACAGTCGGTCGCAAGCTACGTGCGCGGGGGGGGGGGGGTAGGGGGAGCGACCTCCGCCTGCGGTGCGCGCCGTGTCCCCCGCAGGAGCTGCTGCTCGTGAACCTCCGCGGGGACCCCGTGGTCTTCCTGCCGCGCACCGGCCCGGACGACGACGACGACTTCGCGGCGTTCGTTCCGCGCCGGCCGGGCTGCCCCCTCGACGTCCCGCGCCCCCCCGCCCCGCCGCCGCCGCCGCCGCCGCCGCCGGCGCCTCCGCACGCCGGCCCCGCCGCGTGGGGCCACCGCGGCGGGCGCTGCGGGAGCCGTGGCGGCGGTTGGGCCGGCCGGGAGGTGGACGCCCTGGAGCTGAGCATCCGCCGGGAGGTGAGAGGGAGGGTGAGGTGGCAGGGAGGGGAGGTGAGAGGGAGGGGAGGTGAGAGGGAGGGGAGGTGAGGTGAGAGGGAGGGTGAGGTGGGAGGAAGAGAAGGAGGGGAGGCGAGAGGGAGGGAGGGGAGGCCAGAGGGAGGGAGGGGAGGAGAGAGGGAGGAGAGGTGAGAGAGAGGGTGAGGTGAGAGAGGGGAGGTGAGAGGGAGTGAGGGGAGGTGAGAGGGAGGAGAGGTGAGAGGGAGGGGAGGTGGGAGGGAGGGGAAGCGGGAGGGAGGGAGGGGAGGTGAGAGGGAGGGGAGGCGGGAGGGAGGGAGGGGGAGGTGAGAGGGAGGGGAGGTGAGAGGGAGGGGAGGTGAGAGGGAGGGGAGGTGAGAGGGAGGGGAGGCGGGAGGGAGGGAGGGGGAGGTGAGAGGGAGGGGAGGTGAGAGGGAGGGGAGGTGAGAGGGAGGAGAGGTGAGAGGGAGGGGAGGTGGGAGGGAGGGGAAGCGGGAGGGAGGGAGGGGAGGTGAGAGGGAGGGGAAGCGGGAGGGAGGGAGGGGAGGTGAGAGGGAGGGGAGGCGGGAGGGAGGGAGGGGGAGGTGAGAGGGAGGGGAGGTGAGAGGGAGGGGAGGTGAGAGGGAGGGAGGGGAGGTGAGAGGGAGGGGAGGCGGGAGGGAGGGAGGGGGAGGTGAGAAGGAGGGGAGGTGAGAGGGAGGGGAGGTGAGAGGGAGGTGAGAGAGAGGGAGGGAGGGAGGCTGCGCTCTCTCGCCGGTGCACCTGGTGCCGGGAGGCGAGGGCCCACGGGACGGGAAGTGGCCGCTCAGTGGCCGCGTTGTTGCGGCCGCTTTCGCTTCGTCTCCCCGGTGGACGAACTTCCAACTGTTGGGGGATGGAGCGTTCGCCGGCCGTCTCAGGCGTGGGGTTCCTCCGTGCACTCCGTTGTTCTCCTGCACGGATAAACGCATTCATTCATTGAGGGAGTTGGCCAAACATTGCAATGTAGGGCCGCAGAGCTCGGGCGATTGCTGGTCACGCTGGCTCTGGCTGCCTCCCCGCTCGCCTGTGGCTTCCCGCGCCTCTGAATCTCTCCGTGCTGCGAGAGAGTGGACGAGCACTGCTTGCGTTAGAAATTCTAGATTGTTATCATGATATTTATTTACCTCTGTATATGTTGAACTTCTTTCCCACCGTACGTAGCCAACCTTGCTAATCGGAGGTGCGGGGGAAGGACAACAAACTAAACACAAATATCAGTTCAAAATAAATGAGTTCGCTCCAGTGGCTACCTAACATCGGAAGGAAGAACGTTCCAGACGGCCGCAGGAGTGCACCTGAAAGCGCGCGATGCTGCGACCGCCTTGCGATGAATGTCCGTGGTGTCGGTGATGTCCCTCGCCCTCGCCCCGAGTAGATCCTGGACTTTGCGTCACTGAAGCAGAGCACGTACTACGTGTACGAGGAGCTGGACGCCACGGCCTCCTCTGGTGGCGGTGGCGACGCCGTCACCGCCGGGGCGGCGCTGCCGTGCCGACTCAGCGAGGACGACGATGTCCGGACCAGCGAGGAGGTGTTCTGTCGGCCACTCTTCACCGTGCCGGGCCTGCGGTGAGTCCGGCGACGGGCTCTCACCGCACTCACTCTCACCACGCTCACCACGCTCACCGCACTCACTCTCACCACGCTCACCATGCTCACCGCTCTCACTCTCACCACACTCACCGTGCTCACCACGCTCACTCTCACCACGCTCACCGCACTCACTCTCACCACGCTCACCACGCTCCCCACGCTCACTCTCACCACGCTCACCACGCTCCCCACGCTCACTCTCACCACTCTCACCACGCTCACCACGCTCACCACGCTCACTCTCACCACAGTTAATCTCATTATTCTCACCAAACTCAATCTCACACTCCAAACGCTCAATATCACCACGTTCACTCTGCCCGCAATTAATCTCACACTCGCTCACCACACACCCTCACCGCACAGCCTCACCGCACACTCACTCACCCCACACACTCACCACACGTACACTCACACCACACACTTTCACCATACTCACCAGTCACCACACACGCACCACACCCTCACTCACCCCACACACTCACCAAACGTACACTAACACCACACACTTTCACCATGCTCACCAGTCACCACACACGCACCACACACTCCCTCACCCCACACACTCACCACACGTACACTCACACCACACACTTTCACCATGCTCACACAGATCCCCCATATTACCTTTAACAGACTGTAGGGGCAAGTGCTGTTAGCGAGCACCTATGAAGGCCGGCACGGCACACAAGGGGGTAGGTGGCCAGCACCACGCCCGACCGCCTTTGTCTGCCTCGTGGTGATGTTTACACACCGCACCAGGTAGTCATTTTAGGCTGAGTCGACCTAGGGGAGGCCCAGGACCGGTTCAGATAATCGTCACTGGTGTTGGCCGTGAGTGGGAATCGAACTCGGGTCGCCACTACCGCTCCCCACATACTCTCACCACACACTCACCACACCCACACCACCCATTCACCACACACACACACCACACACACACACCACACAAACACCACACACACACCACACACTCACCACACACACACCACACACACACTCACCACACACTCACCACACTCACCACACCCACACCACACTCACACACATACCACACACTCACCACACACACATACCACACACTCACCACACACACACACCACACCACACACACCACACACACCACACAGACACCACACACTCACCACACACACACACCACACACACCACCCTCTCACCACACAGACACCACACAGACACCACACACCACACACACACTCTCACAACACACACCACACACACTCACCACACACACCACACACACACCACACACTCACCACACACACCACACTCTCACCACACACTCACCACACTGATCCTGACTGCTACCAGGAGGCGGCGATCTTGAGCTGAGATCGTTTCGCTCACTCACGCTGCCTCCGCCACTGAGCCGCGATGGTGATGTAAGAGAGCCATGCCATGAGTCGGGGTGATGAACTGGTAATATTTTTTTAATTTTTTTATGATCAGTGGAAACAAGAAGATGCTCGGTGTAGTCGGCACTTTGCTTCGTTCATCATTTCGTAAAAAAATTTATTTTAAAACTTTGCTTTATGTAAATCAGTACCGTAGCTACGTGGTAATGTTGATGTCGTGGTGATGTCGCGACTCCCAAGTTGATGTTTTTCTCAGCAGCTGAGCGCTCCAGAGACCAGGATGGTCTCCTTTGCCCGGAGTGATGTCGTAGCGATGCCGTCACTCGATGCGTTGATGTCGTGGTGATGGTGTGATTGATTATGTCGTTGTGATGCGGTGATGGTGAAGTAGCGATGTAGTTGGTGACGTTGCAGCTGTGCCCGTGGTGATGTGATGTTTTGGTGACGTCGTGGTGATGTAGTGATGTCAACAAGATGTTGCGATACCCGTTGTGATAATATAGTGGCTATGTGGTGATGATGTGGATATGCGCTTGGTGACGTGGTAATGATGTGGTGGTGACGTGGTGATGATGTGATGACATGGTGATGACGTAGTGATGTGGTGATGACGTAGTGATGATGTGGTGATGTTGTGCTGACGTGGTGATGACGTGTTGACGTGGTGATGACGTGATGATGACGTAGTGATGATGTGATGACGTGGTGATGATGTGGTGATGATGTGGTGATGACGTGATGATGATGTGGTGATGACGTGGGGATGTGATGTGGTGATGACGTGGTGATGACGCGGTGATGACGTAGTGATGACGTCATGATGATGTGATGACGTGGTGATGACGTGGTGATGATGTAGGTATGCCCGGATCCCGTTCCCAGTGGAGGGAGCTCCTGACGAGGAGGCGTTTGACGACTTCATCAACCTCATCCGTGTACGTCCGCCCCAAAAACATAGTACCCATCGCATCGCGGCCGTGGTGATGGTAATGGCGTTGTAGGGGATGTTGGTGATGATGGTAATTATAATGACGGTTGTGATGATGAATAGAATGCAGATAATGATGAACTGTAATTGTAGCGACGGTCAAGATGATGATTATGATGACATCTTTGTCCGAAGTGCAGCAGCATATGGGCCAAGCGATGATGATGTCAGTGATGATGATGATGGTGTTGATGATGACAATGACGGTATTCGATTGAAAATGATGATGACCACGATGATGGTATTGATGATGATGGACATTACTGATGACGACAATGAAAATGGTGATGATGATGAGTATGTTGCCATTAACTCTGCCCGAGTGAGATGACGATGATGACGACGACGATGTTGTTGTGTCGGTGCAGCAGAGCCCAGGCCTGGTGGGCCACGAGGTGGCGGCCGGGGCCACCGTGGCGCCAGTGCCGGCCTTCCTCTTCACCTGCCGCAGCGGCACCGGCGGCACCACCCTGGGCATGGCCCTCGCCTGCCTGCTGCTCGGCCACCGCCTCGGCTTCCCGGCCACACCACGGTGAGGCCCGAACCCCCTCGCCACCACCACCGCCCCCCCACCACCACCACAAGCCGTAGCTCCCCCCTCGCCACCACCACCGCCCCCCCGCCCCACCACCACAATCCGTAACTCCCCCCTCGCCACCACCACCACCACCCCCCCCCGTTCCCTCACCACCCCCCCACCACCACCACCACAATCCGTAGCTCCCCCCTCGCCACCACCACCGCCTCCCCCCCCCACCACAATCCGTACCTCCCCCCTCGCCACCACCACCACCACCCCCCCCCGTTCCCTAACCACCCCCCCACCACCATCACCACAATCCGTAGCTCCCCCCTCGCCACCACCACCGCCCCCCCCCCCCCCCACCACAATCCGTACCTCCCCCCTCGCCACCACCACCACCACCACCCCCCCCCGTTCCCCCACCACTCTTCCACCACCACAATCCGTACCTCCCCCCTCGCCACCACCACCACCACCCCCCCCCCCCCGTTCCACCACCACCCCCCCACCACCACCACCACAATCCGTAGCTCCCCTTCGCCCCCACCACCACCGCTTCCCCCCACCCACCACAATCCATACCTTCGCCCCCCTCACCACCACCACCACCACCCTTCCCGTTCCCCCACCACCCCCCCCCACCACCACCACAATCCGTAGCTCCCCTTCGCCCCCCCCACCACCGCTTCCCCCCACCCACCACAATCCGTACCTCCCCCCTCGCCACCACCACCACCACCCCCCCCCCCCCCGTTCCCCCACCACCCCCCCCCACCACCACCACAATCCGTAGCTCCCCTTCGCCCCCCCCACCACCGCTTCCCCCCACCCACCACAATCCGTACCTCCCCCTTCGCCCCCCCACCACCACCCCCCGCCCGGCAATCTTCTCTCCACGTAGGGTTGCCAACTCTTGACTGAAGCCATTCGAGAGGATGTTTTTTTATTATTTCATAGACGTATATTTTTGTCTGTGTTTAGAAACGTTTTTATTTCATGTTGAGTATTAAGTGAGATGATGGCGCTTTTTGAGTGGCAGATTTGTGCCGGCAAGGGGCCACGCGTAAATATATGTAAACAAAAATGAAACTGATGTCTTGAAATAACCGATGATTAAAATCTCCCGTATTGATCTCAGCAGTGACCGGGAGGAGATCGATGCCGATCCCGTTAGAGGCTCCCCATCAATCCAGGAGGATGGTTGACAACCCCACCTTCGCGTGATTATCGAAACAACCTACTCCCGGATTATATGTGGCGATGCAGGGTATTGACCGGGCCGCAGTGAGAGGTGGGGCAGTTTTCCCTGGGCCTCAGGACACGAGGAAGGGGGCCGCAGAAACAGCTGTGGATGGCCTCTAGAGGTGGCCGGGGGGCCTCAACCTGCATTTCCCCTCGGGCCTCCAAAAGAAACGACCATTGGTGGCCCTGGCTATTGAACACAGCGTGTGTGTACACACACACACATCACAATCAGAATCTTTCTGTAGACTGGAGGAATCCGATGAGCTATGAAGCTCTTTTTCACAGATGTCCACGTACGTATACAGTGTCGACACGCCATCGCGTCTCTCGAGACGCCGTACAGGATTGGCGAGTGCGTGTTTTTTAATTTACTATGGGGGTTGCTGTCTTGGTGCGTGCGTGCGGGTGGTGGGGGTGGTGCTGGCGCCCGCTAGGCCTGGCGACGGCGCAGCAGCGGAGACCCCTCCCATCCCACGGCTCCACTTGATCACGAGCTTCCTCGACATCGTCCCCGATGCACAGCAGATCCTCCACGAGGTGCACTCACTCGGACACGTGACGCCGCCCTTTCCCACGCCACCCTGTGCCACACCACCCTGTCCCATGCCACCCTGCCCAACGCCACCCTGTACCACACCACCCTGTGCCACACCACCCTGTCCAATGCCACCTTGTGCCATACAGCGCTCTCCCACGGCACCCTGCAATGTGGTTGTTGGTTCTCGTTGACTGCCATGACGTTGTTTCTTGGGACGATGCTTTTTGGATATTGTGCCATTGTTGTCTCGTCAAGTGGACTGTGTGGTTGCTGTGTGATTGTGGTGCGGGCGTTGCAGGTGGACTGTGCGGTTGCCATGTGCTCGGAGCTGTGCAGCCTGTCGGGCGCCGTCTACGAGGACAAGGAGAGGCTGGAGGCCGCCGCGGACGATCGCCAGTCGCAGGTGAGCGAGCAGCGCGTGGCCAGTGCCTCTGCTCCGGCTGGCTCGGCGCTCCGGGACACCGAACCTGGGGGCCGAGTTTCAGCTGCCCATGGTTACGCCGCGTTCTCCGGATCGAGCACGGCGGTTCCTTTGAGCGCGCCCATCGGTGACCGGTGCGGGAGAGTCAGCTCTCCGCAGTCTGAGCCGCGGCTGGCCGGCTGAGACTCGGATTCAAGCCAGGGATTCTCGGTTGAGCTGCCAGATTGGGCCACTCGAGGAACTTAAGGGATGCATTGAAGCATCAATCCACCGCACTCCGACTGAAACCATATCCCGGCTAAATAATCCGGACGCGGACTTCCAAGTTGCCATCAACCTCAACGTAAGCAAGGAGTCGTCTCCGACACCTCCATGATCATTCCACTGCTGGATGAAGGCCTCCCCCGGCCGCTGCGAAGAGGCCGTGCCGACGATGAAACGCGTGCCGCTTCTTCGCCGACTCGGGGAGTGGGAGAGAGGAAAAAAAAAACTCCGAAGCTGACAGCCCGTAGCCACGGTAACGGGGAAACCAAACAGAAACCCGACACACCGCTGCGGCCGTGTACTTTTCCCGGGAAATTAAACGAGCCCCCCGTCCCCCCATCCTACCGCCCCCTTCCCCCTCCCCAGCGGAAGCTGCCCATCAGCGAGACCCCCGACCGCTCGTCAGGGTCACGGTGATTCTTACCCAGTGCCCCCGTGCACCCCGGCCAGGGCGGAGTTTCGATCGAGAGCGATGAGAAACGCAAGGACCACAGCCGGGGGGCCCTAACCCGAGTCGTCTAACCTACAATGGGAAAGAAAGATGTTGAATTAGTCACGCGCGCGATGTTCGCCGACTCGCGGAGACGGGGAGAGATTCAGCGCGTGGGAAACCACGGACGGGCTGGGGGGCATCCAGAACCGGTGCCAACAATTGCCCAAAGCTCTGCGGTTCTATATTTAGATTTTGGTCAACTCAACTCACGAGTGTTTAACACATCCCCATCCAGGATCGCCATAATCGGCTAATCTGTGTATCTTGGCCTTGAGAACTCCTCCCAGACCGTTCCATCGATTTCAGTGAACGAGGAGACTGTCCTTTGAAAGCTTGTGATATGTAGTTTACTCAAATGAGGTCAAATTACTGAAACATTTGACTTTTAGCTTGATATATTGGCTTATCTGCACAAGCACTACTTATCCATTTTACCATTTACAATAACAAGTTGGTAATATGCTCCCATTTCAAATTCATACAATATAGGGTCCACTGTCCTTGCCAGCCTTCTCCACGCTGCCCTGTCTCCACGCTCTCCCTGTCTCCACGCTCTCCCTGTCTCCACGCTCTCCCTGTCTCCACGCTGCCCTGTCTCCACGCTCTCCCTGTCTCCACGCTGCCCTGTCTCCATGCTCTCCCTGTCTACACGCTACCCTGTCTCCATGCTCTCCCTGTCTACACGCTGCCCTGTCTCCACGCTGCCCTGTCTCCACGCTGCCCTGTCTCCATGCTCTCCCTGTCTACACGCTACCCTGTCTCCATGCTCTCCCTGTCTCCACGCTGCCCTGTCTCCACGCTGCCCTGTCTCCACGCTGTCCTGTCTCCATGCTGCCCTGTCTCCACGCTCTCCCTGTCTCCACGCTCTCCCTGTCTCCACGCTCTCCCTGTCTCCACGCTGCCCTGTCTCCACGCTGTCCTGTCTCCATGCTGCCCTGTCTCCACGCTCTCCCTGTCTCCACGCTCTCCCTGTCTCCATGCTGCCCTGTCTCCACGCTGCCCTGTCTCCACGCTCTCCCTGTCTCCACGCTCTCCCTGTCTCCACGCTGCCCCGTCCTGCGCCATCTCTCTTTACGCTCCTCAGGCCACCGTGCCCGATCGCACCACATCGCCCCCCCCCCACCCCCTCTTCTTCTTCTGCCTTCCTCTTGATCTCTGTCCTTCCACTTTCATCACTCGCCACCTTCTGACCCACGTAGTTTTCCTGTCGCCTCTCCACATGACCGAACCACACCCAGAGGCTTTTCTCTCTCTAATCTTCTCTGTGATTTCTACTACATTGAGTCTTCCTCTCACTTCTTAATTTTTCACCCCCGTGTCCTTCCTCGTTCAACCCAACATCCACCGCAGCATCCTCATCTCTGTGACTGCCGTAGCTCGGCCCTCACTCTCTCCTTGCGCCCCAGCAGCACTCGGCCCCGTACAACATCAGCGGCCTCACCACCGTCTTGTACTATACACTGCACTATACACTACACTATACACTACACTATACACTGCACTATACACTGCACTATACATTACACTATACACTGCACTATACACTGCACTATACACTACACTATACACTACACTATACACTACACTATACACTACACTATACACTGCACTATACACTACACAATACACTACACTATACACTACACTATACACTACACTATACACTGCACTATACACTGCACTATACACTACACTATACACTACACTATACACTACACAATTTTTCCTTCAAACAAACTGAGACCCTCTTATCGCACACCACACCAGTCATCTCTCGCCATTTCACCCATCCAGGATGAAGATGATAAGTATGTATATTCATTTTACACTTAAGGAAGGCAATGTTCATCTTCTTGGTTCTTTCGGTAAAGTCACGTAGAATGGAAATAATAAAATAAAATAAATAATACGTTATTTTATTATTTCCATTCTACGTGACTTTACCGAAAGAACCAAAAAGATGAATCACTGCAGTCACGAAAGCTTTAAATCGAAATTGAAGGCAATGTTGTTGATGATTGTGTAGAGCGTTTGTTATTTCCTTCCGTGCAGCCCTGAAAATGAATCGTAACAACAACAACAATAGTAGTAGTAGTAATACATGGATGGCACATTTGGTATCCGTACCGTTGTAATGGCGGAAGGCGATGGCTGTGTCGCCTGCCGTCTCGTTTCGGCTTCACGTTTCGGGGCGATGGCGCTCGGCACGGCCTCCGATCGCGTCGCCCCCGCCGTCTCGTTTCTCCCACCGTTCGCATTTTGCCGGTGCCGACGCCGGCCCTGTGGGGTTGGCGTCGGCTGCAGGGGTCCGGCGAGAGGGAGCTGGCCCTGCACCGGCTGCTCGGGAGCCTCGAGCGCTGCTACTACCTGCTCTGCTTCAACTTCTACCTGCACGAGCAGGTTTGGGTGTGTGTGTGACTCACCTGTGTGTATGTGTGTGTGTGTGAGAACTTACCTGTGTGTGTGTGTGCCGCTATAGGGGTATCTGTGTGTGTGTGTGACTCACCTGTGTGTGTGGGTGAGGACTTACCTGTGTGTGTGTGTCACCTCACCTGTGTGTTGTGTCACCTCACCTGTGTGTGTGTGTGTTACGCTATAGGGGTATCTGTGTGTGTGCCGCTATAGGGGTATCTGCGTGTGTGTGTTACTCACCTGTGTGTGTGTGTGAGAACTTACCTGTGTGTATGTGTGAGGGCTCTCACCTGTGTGTGTGTGTGAGGACTTACCTGTGTGTGTGTGTGTCACCTCACCTGTGTGTGTGACGCTATAGGGGGTATCTGTGTGTGTGTGTGCCGCTAGAGGGGGTGTGTGTGTGTGTGTGTGACGCTATAGGGGTATCTGTGTGTGTGTGTGTGTGACTCACCTGTGTGTGTGCCGCTATAGGGGTATCTGTGTGTGTGACGTTATAGGGGGTATCTGTGTGTGTGTGCCGCTAGAGGGGGTGTGTGTGTGCCGCTAGAGGGGTGTCTATGTGTGTGTGACGCTATAGGAGTGTATGTGTGTGTGATGCTATTGGGGTGTCTGTGTGTGTGTCGCTAGAGGGGTATCTGTGTGTGTGTGTGCCGCTATAGGGGTATCTGTGTGTGTGTCGCTATGGGGGTATCTGTGTGTGTGCAGCTATATAGGTATCTGTGTGTCGCTATAGGGGGTGTCTGTGTGTACCGCTATAGGTGTGTGTGTGTGCTATAGGGGGTGTCTGTGTGGGTGACGCTATAGGAGTATCTGTGTGTGTGGCGCTATGGGGGTATCTGTGTGTGTGCCGCTATAGGGGTATCTGTGTGTGTGGTGCTATACGGAATCTGTGTGTGTGCCGCTATAGGGTATCTGTGTGTGTGCCGCTAGAGGGGGTGTCTGTGTGTGTGTCGCTATAGGGGTATCTGTGTGTGTGCCGCTAGAGGGGGTATCTGTGTGTGTGTCGCTATAGGGGTGTGTGTGCCGCTATAGGAGTATCTGTGTGTGTGTGTGTCACCTCACCTGTGTGTGTGTGTGTCACCTCACCTGTGTGTGTGCGTAACGCTATAGGGGGTGTCTGTGTGTGTGACGCTATAGGGTATCTGTGTGTGTGCCGCTAGAGGAGTATCTGTGTGTGTGGCGCTGTAGGGGTGTGTGTGTGTGTGTGTGCCGCTATAGGGGTCTCTGTGTGTGTGGCGCTATAGAGTATCTGTGTGTGTGGCGCTATAGGAGTATCTCTGTGTGTGTCGCTATAGAGTATCTGTGTGTGTGTCGCTATAGAGTATCTGTGTGTGTGTCGCTATAGAGTATCTGTGTGTGTGCTGCTATGGGAGTATCTGTGTGTGTGCCGCTATAGGAGTATCTGTGTGTGTGCTGCTGTAGGGTATCTCTGTGTGTGCCGCTATAGGAGTATCTGTGTGTGTGGCGCTATAGGAATATCTGTGTGTGTGGCGCTATAAGAGTATCTGTGTGTGTGCCGCTATGGGGGTATCTGTGTGTGTGCCGCTATAGGGGTGTGTGTGTGTGTGCCGCTATAGGGGTATCTGTGTGTGTGTGCCGCTATAGGAGTATCTGTATGTGTGACACTATAGGGGGTGTCTGTGTGTGTGTGCCGCTATAGAGGTGTGTGTGTGTGTGCCGCTATAGAGTATCTGTGTGTGTGGCGCTATAGGAGTATCTGTGTGTGTGTCGCTATAGAGAATCTGTGTGTGTGTCGCTATAGAGTATCTGTGTGTGTGTCGCTGTAGAGTATCTGTGTGTGTGCCGCTATGGGAGTATCTGTGTGCGTGCCGCTATAGGAGTATCTGTGTGTGTGCTGCTGTAGGGTATCTCTGTGTGTGCCGCTATAGGAGTATCTGTGTGTGTGGCGCTATAGGAGTATCTGTGTGTGTGGCGCTATAGGAGTATCTGTGTGTGTGCCGCTATGGGGTTATCTGTGTGTGTGCCGCTATAGGAGTGTGTGTGTGCCGCTATAGGAGTATCTGTGTGTGTGGCGCTATAGGAGTATCTGTGTGTGACGCTATAGGAGTATCTGTGTGTGCCGCTATGGGGGTATCTGTGTGTGTGCCGCTATAGGGGTGTGTGTGTGTGTGCCGCTATAGGAGTATCTGTGTGTGTGGCGCTATAGGCGTATCTGTGTGTGACGCTCTAGGAGTATCTGTGTGTGTGACGCTGTAGGAGTATCTGTGTGTGTGGCGCTATGGGGGTAACTGTGTGTGTGCCGCTATAGGGGTGTGTGTGTGTGTGCCGCTATAGGAGTATCTGTGTGTGTGGCGCTATAGGCGTATCTGTGTGTGATGCTCTAGGAGTATCTGTGTGTGTGACGCTATAGGAGTATCTGTGTGTGTGGCGCTATGGGGGTATCTGTGTGTGTGCCGCTATAGGGGTGTGTGTGTGTGTGCCGCTATAGGAGTATCTGTGTGTGTGGCGCTATAGGAGTATCTGTGTGTTTGACGCTATAGGAGTATCTGTGTGTGTGACGCTATAGGAGTATCTGTGTGTGTGTGACGCTATAGGAGTATCCGTGTGTGTGTGTGTGTGATGCTAGAGGAGTATCTGTGTGTGTGCTGCTATAGGAGTATCTGTGTGTGTGGCGCTGTAGGGGTGTGTGTGTGGCGCTATAGGAGTATCTGTGTGTGTGCCGCTATAGGGGTGTGTGTGCCGCTAGAGAAATATCTGTGTGTGTGCCGCTATAGGGGTATCTGTGTGTGTGGCGCTATAGGAGTATCTGTGTGTGTGGCACTATAGGAGTATCTGTGTGTGTGCTGCTATAGGAGTATCTGTGTGTGTGCTGCTATAGGAGTATCTGTGTGTGTGCTGCTATAGGAGTATCTGTGTGTGTGCCGCTATAGGAGTATCTGTGTGTGTGCCGCTATAGGAGTATCTGTATGTGTGCTGCTATAGGAGTATCTGTGTGTGTGGCGCTATAGGAGTATCTGTGTGTGTGCTGCTATAGGAGTATCTGTGTGTGTGCTGCTATAGGAGTATCTGTGTGTGTGCCGCTATAGGGGTGTGTGTGTCTGTGCCGCTATAGGGGTATGTGTGTGTGTGTGACGCTTGAGGAGTATCTGTGTGTGTGTGTGTGTGACGCTAGAGGAGTATCTGTGTGTGTGTGTGGCGCTATACGGTATCTGTGTGTGTGGCGCTGCGCTCAGTTCAGGCTGGCCTTCTCGCTGCCATTCAGCGTGTGGATGCGCCGCCACCCCGAGCTGCTGAGGCTGCTGGCGCGCAGCGACGTGTCGGAGCTGTGGGCGCCCCCGGAGCTCATCACCGCCGGCACGCGCATTCTGGTCACTGCTCACACGCGCACACACACATTTACACACACAGAAAAAAAAGATCCACCTATGTAGGCCGGCATGGCACACGAGGGGGTGGGTGGCCAGCACCACGCCCGGCCGCCCTGTGTCACCCCCATTGGCGATGTTTACACACCGCACACCAGGTACTCATTTGAGGCTGAGTCTACCTAGGGGAGGCCCAGGTCCGTTTCAGATAATCATCACCAGTGTTGGCTGTGAGCAAGAATTGAACTCGGGTCACTGTGTTCATCCCTCGTTATGCAAACCACTACCGCTTTTCATTCACATAACACACACACGCACACACGCCCTTAACACGGACAGATACCACGGCTGTGTTTGTATGTACGTGTATTGTCTGGCCATAGGCGCTCGCTAACAGAACTTGCCCCAATAGTCCGTAGAGGCTACACGGGGGATATTTGTTTTCTGTCCGGCCAGGTGGCTCAGCGGTAGAGCGAGCGGCTCGCAAATCGGAAGGTTGCGAGTTTCAAATCTTGGTCGGGAGCTGCCTCGGCCAATCATCCCTTCGGGGGTGGGGGGGTGGGTAAGTCAATAAGATGAGCACCACTTTTTGCGGGGAAGTCAGCAGCGGTTGTCCATCGCAGGTGGCGGACGATCACGTCGACCTGGACGTGATGAGCTCCAAGCGTGAGATGCACGTGGCAAACTTCCGCCGCGTCCCCAAACTCCCGGTCTACGGCATGGCCCAGCCCAGCTCCGAGGTGCGCATGCGTGTGTGCGTGTGCATGTGTGTGTACATGTGTGTGTGTGCATGTGTGGGCACGCGCGTGTGTGTGTATGCATGTGTTTGTGCATGTGTGTGTGCATTTGTGTGCATGCACACATGTGTGCATGCGTGTGCATGTGTGTGTGCATGTGTGTGTGCATGTGTGTGTGCATGTGTGTGTGCATGTGTGTGTGCACGCGCGTGTGTACGCGCGTGTGTGTGCATGTGTGTGTCCACGTGCGTGTATGTGTGTGTGTGGCAGCAGTGCGACCCGAGCTCGATTCCCGCTCACGACCAATAACAGTGGCGAATATTTGAACCGGTCCTGGGCCTCCTTTAGTTTGAGTTCTTGGTAAATACCTGGTGCGGTGTGTAAACATCTGCACTGGGGAGACAAAGGTTGCCAGGAGCGGTGTTGACCACTCACCGCCTTGCGTGCCATGCCGGCCTTCATACGTGCTCGCGAACGGCACTTGCCTCAACAGTCTGTCAAGGCTGCACGGGGGGACCTTTGTTATTGTCGTGTGCTTGCGTGGACGCGTGCGTGAGGTCGCCGTCAACGTCACAGTGTCTCTGAGTGCTGTGCCTGTGGTGGCGGTGCGGTGCGGTGGTTTTCTGACCGTGCTGCTGATTTTGGGCACGGTGGCGATGTTTGGTAACGTTCAGTCTGGCCGCGTTGATGTTCAGCGATGTTTCTCGATGATGTTCGGCGTGACGGCGACGATGACGTTTGGATGACGGTGCCGCCGTGAGCAGGGCCTGTCCCACGTGCTGAGCTACCTGACGGGGGAGCGGCGGGCCCACGGGGCCGTGGCGAGCGTGAACCTGCGCGGGGAGGTCGTGCTGGATGCCAGCGGGAACACCTACACGCCGCGCGAGCGTGCACAGCCGCACACAGCCATCGTGCTGCCCGCCGGCAACCCCGAGCAGATAGACGTGAGGAGAGCGGCGGACACGCACGCACACACACACGCCGCACGCACGGACCGCAAGCAAGCACCACACGCTCCGCACACACATGCACCGCATGCGCGCACCGCACGCGCGCACGCATGCACCGCACACACACAAACACGGGTGCAACGAGATCGGCCCACGTGCAGGAGTGAGGTGGTGACATCCATCAGGGGATTGAACTCAGGCCCTCACAGTCGCTGGCTCAGCGCCCTAGAATGAGCCAAACGATCAATTCCTGATGTTCCCAATCGCGTGAAAACTAACGTCAGTGTCACCCCGAGCGTGCTGTCGGCCCACAGAAGCGTGCATCACAGAGCTACCTCTGAGTGCTGCCCATTGCTGGTTCACTCAGTAGGGGGCAGCGTTTGCCTGCTCGCCCCCAGCTACAGAATCACGTCCCATAACAGACACCCGATTTTTTTTATTTGATTTTCAGAGCTGGAATTTTCACCAAATTAATAGGAGCGGTAAATTCATTGGCATGGATTTAGTTTTTATTGCACGGCAATTGGTGACCGGGATGAATTCATCCTTCCAGATGAGGTCTCCTGGTGGAGACACCTGTATATGTCTGGTGTACGTGTGTATGTTGAACTTCTTTCGCACCGCACGTAGCCAACCATGCTAATCGGAGGTGCGGGGAGAAGGACAACAAACTAAACACAACGAGCAGTTCTAAAGCAATTAGATTTCAAAAGAAATTAAACATAGCCACTGCCAGGGCATTAGAGTGACTCCTTGTGCCTCTATGCGAGTCTGTAGTTCTCCATGTGAGTCTTGGGGTCTCACTGTGACTGTAGAGATGTCTATGTGAGTTTATGCATCACTAAGGGGGTCTGTGGGTTTATATGTGAGTCCTTGGGTCTCTGTGTGAGAAGCTACTGTCTGTTATTTCCAGAGTCTCGGTAAAATCAGCCTGCGTGCATTGCCACCTGAGATAGTTTACCAACTCGGAGTGGAGTTTGTAGCCTTCTCTTTACCAGGAGCCATCCAACACCGAGAACCACAACAGCAACAACTCCTCCTCCGCTCCAGTCTCACCGAGCGACACGTCACCCACAGTGCCTCGCTCAACGTCACCTTACTCACGGTGCCTCACAGAACGTCACGTTACCCTATGGAGAGCGTCACCCATTTTATTGTTGTTGTTACCGCAGGAGGTGGAGCGGGAGCTCAAGGCGTGCGTGCTCGCAGCGCCGGACTGGTTGGAGGCGTGGCAGGACGACGAGAAGCAGGTGAAGGCGTTCCACGCGTGCGAAACGCCGGCCGGCGTGCACGCCGCGCTGCGCTGCTCGCTGCACCCGCAGCTGCGCTATCACCGGCTGCCCCTGCCCGATGGGGCGGCCCCCTCCGAGCAGGTGGGGCTCGCACGGTGTGGGGGTTTGCGGGCAGACGCCGGGCGTGGTTGGAGGGGTGGCTGAGGAGTGACTGAGGAGTGACTGAGTAGTGACTGAGCGTGGCGCTCACATGAGAAATGCGGTGGTTGTTACCAAGGTGAAAATATTCCCCTCCGGCACCCAATTAGTGCGGCTAAGATCTTTGCAGAGACGAACAACAAATCTGACTCTTGCCTGATGATGCCAGTTGTAATTACCCACAAAACGTCGTATTCAGATTGTAAATGTTGTGGATTTGCTCTCCAACACACCGGTGTGCTGTACTAGTAACGAATTGGCACGTTCTGTTTACGTGACAAACCTTACTAATTGGTTGTGTCGGGTGATGGCGACACATTTATATATTTACGCGATCTAACCCAAAGAAAACCTATATTACGGATGATATTGGTCGCGGAAGCCTACGTGTTAAACGAACAATGCCTGCAGGCTGCGTGAAAGCGGGAGGCCTCGTGTGGTCACGGGTCGTATGGAATGAACTTTGGTTTAGCCAGTGGTGAAAGCTCTTTCGACAAGGGTAGCCTTGTCGACAGGAGGGATCTCGCTCACCGAAGTGAACGGGGAGCGATAACGTGAACAATTAAGAAAATAGAAATCGTAAAAGACAAAAACACGTTCACAGAATACATTTAAAGCAAGGGCATGAGTGTTAAATGGGTGAAGCCGTATAAGAATAGGTTTTACCCTTTCTGGCAATAAAACAATTGGGTTAAGATGTTAAAACACCAAACAGAAAGTTTTGCGAGGAATCCTGTCTGCATTAACCACACGTACTTGTGGTGAGCATGCAAACAAAACACGCGCTCTGGTAGTACTTGATGCATTGTCCCTGAAACTGATTGGTCCACACCAGAGACAGCTTTCAGGGGGCCTAGACTCAAACAGTGTTAGACCAGAGGACGCCAAGGACAATGCACTATCAGGACATTGAGAGCTCGGGGGTAAGCAGCTACATCATGGGACCTTTCTTGCAATGTGAAGCCATGCCGGCAGCTTCATCGGTCTCTCGTCTTTCGGACATCCACTTTCAAAGGAAGAGAAAGTGAATATTTCAGAGAAAGTGAACGATAAAGTGAACATTTCAAAGCAAGTGAATGAGAAAGTGATTCTCCAAAAGAGGAGAGACCGATGCAGTCGTGGGGCACGGCTTCACCCATTTAACGCTCGTGCCCCGTTTTCATTTTCTATTTACTTCATTGTGAATGTTATCGCTCCCGTCATTTCCAAGAAAGTGAATCGTTTACGGAATCCACCAAATGGCATTCACGGACAAGCCAAATTTTTGTTCGTCCGCTCGTCGTTATTTTTTGTTTACCAAACCCCTTAAACGACGCGTGCCGGGCGCGTGCCCCCTCCACCGTCTCTCCCCCCGGCCGCAGGACTTTGACCGCCTCCTCGACCTCTTCAAGGTGACCCTGGCGGAGGAGGCGAGCGCCGCGTTCCTCTTCAGCTGCCACAGCGGCGGGAGCCGCACCACCACCGCCATGGCTACAGCCGTGCTCTTCCTGTGGCACGTCAACGTGCGTGTGGGGGTACCCCCCCCCCCCCCACCTCCCCCCCCCTCTCTCCGGGGGCCGGATTCCCACTTGCTCGCGGGTTGCAATGGAAATACGAACGCGCAGAGCCCAGACGGATGTCACCAGCGTCAGAGGTCGCAATCGGGTACCCGATACCCGTACCCTACCCGATACACGGCTACCCGTACCCGGCCGGGTATTGACCCGTTGCTCGCTCCGATAGGCTCGCGACCGCTCTTCCCGGCTGTAACTGTGTCTCAAGACGCCGTACTGCTGCAAGAGGACGGCTGTCTAGACCGTGCGCGTAAACGCGATACGGGAAGGGGGGAGGTCGGGGATATTCGGTCACGGCAGGGGACGGGCCTTGAGCCTAACCTCTGACAGGAGCAGGGAGTGAGCAGCTCGGACTGCTGCGCGGAGGGAGTGACAGACAAGTAGGGGCAGCAGGAGCGCTCTGTTATTTTGGTACAAGCACACCATGTAAAAATACGGGACCCCGTGCGACACAAAGAGCAATGCAAACACAACCTCGCTTTATGTGTGGAGCATTGTGGGTAAAATCACTTATGCTGGTCTGCATGGGTCTCATTGTAATTGCAGTTGTGCATCTCTCCGTGTTCTTTATCATCTTCTTGCCACTGCTGCATCGGGGATTTAAATTCCGTTTGTAACTGGCTCATGTTCTCTGATCCACGCGTTCCTCCTTTTGTCCCTGAGTGTCATTTCAAGCATGGGTCTGTCCGTGCCCTTTGCAGAGATGCAGTCTTATCAAGCAAGCTCGTTTGGCTTTACAAAAGTGACTTCCGACACGAATGAGGATTGAGGAGGTGCTCATCGTCTATTTGCAGTCCTGAGCCAGTGGTGGAAAGTCCACTGTCCTACAGCGGGGGGGCGAGTCTATCCGTAGGACAACCGCTGTTGACTGCCCCGCAAAGTGGTGCACGTTTTATCGACCACCGGAGGGAGGGATGATGGGCAGGTCACACACGGTGTGGTGACGGTGGCGACGATGTCTCCCCTCTCCCTGCCAGGGCTTCCCCGTGGACACGGAGGAGGAGATGGTCAGTGTCCCCGATGCCAAGTACACCAAGGGCGAGTTCGAGGTCAGTCCACGTCTCCCATCCGATATCATCATTATCAGCCGTGATCTATCCACTGCTGGACGTAGACGCCTTCTTGATCTGACCATGTGACGATGGTCATATCGAGGAGGCGTCCCGTTCTCAAGATCCCCTGACGTCGTCCGCAAGAGTAGACCGTTGAGTGCCGGCGTCAGGGTCACGTGACATGATGACGACGACGAATGGGAGACGTGGACTGGTCACGTGACCCCCGACGCCACGCCGCTCTGCGTGCGCGCCGCCGTCGGCGGGTGGAGATCCGCACGGATGGATTCTCCACGACTCTGTGCCGCCAGGCGGTGCTGGAGCTGCTGCGGATGCTGCCGGACGGGCCGGAGATGAAGCGCGAGGTGGACGCGGCGCTGGACGCCGTGAGCGAGACGATGACGCCCATGCACTACCACCTGCGCGAGGTCATCTTCTGCACCTACCGCAAGGTGCCACAACCGTCGCAGCCACCGTGACCGCACAACAGCCACAAGCAACAACAATCACAACTAACTAAACTTTTTTACTTTACCAGGTAAGGCTCCACTGAGCTGTATTGAATTTTTTTAGAAGCGACCTGGCTATCACAGATGATAGCTCAACGAAGTGGCTTATCATCATCATCATCATCACGTGCAAATTTGTAGCAGCCAAATACTCTGAACGCGTGATGTTGATTCTAAATGCGGAGGGAAAAACCGGAGGGCTCGGAGAAAAATCCACGCTGGAAGATAGAACACGCAAATTCCAAATATACAGCAGCAGGCGTCAAGGTCAAGATCGAATCCACTACCTCCTGTATACCAGGCGAGGTAGTTAACATCTCCTAGCCACCGTGACGCCCCTCACAACCACGGGCCCCGCCGCCGCAACCGTGACCACAACCGCCACCGTTGCCGTTTCTGCCGTCACGGCGGGGCCTTCACCGGGGCATCAACACCGGGGGCACCGGGCCGATTGCTCATTAACGACATTAACTTCGCGCGGCGGCGCAGTAAACGTATAACCAGGGAGAACACCGGTTTAGTGAAACATTTACCATGAGTCACTCGCGAAATCACCGCGAGTGACTCACGGTGTGTCGTGGACAGGAATCGCGCCCGGGTGGGTCGCGACGTTGCGCGTTGCGTGGACCGGCGCGGTTGCCGCCGTACGGTCCGTCGGCCGGAGGTTTTAACGATTGACGCTGCATCGCGCACTCGAGCCATGGCCACGTGAACACAGAGTAGGCCCTCGCTGTACCCGGTGAACGCTTTTAACACCGGTTGCTCCACAAGGTCGAACATTTTTCCCAGAATTATTATTAGTTTTTTTTTACACTGCACGGTCGTCCGGGAAAATAGTCGGAGGGTCGAGGGTGGTCCGCCTCAGTGGGACGCGGCAGGGCGTGGAGCGATGGTGGGCGACGCCTTGAGAGAGCTGTAACAGAGTGGCAGCCGAGGAATGGAAAGCGTCGAAGGGGAGGTCGCCGAGGAGACGGAGTGATGAAATCGGCTCATGCGCAAGGGGTTTTGCCGATCGTGAGATGTTGCAGTGGCTTGGGGAGGAGGTGTTCATCCAGCAGTGGATTGACCATGGCTGATGACGACAATGGTTTTATTGTAGGTACATTTAACAATATTATCTCCAGAAATTATTAACCCCAAGTGTTCTCCCTTCGCAATGCGGGGATAATGCCGCCGAGGCGAGTGAAAGATTTCCCCGTGAGTCACTCAGGGTGACGGTGGTCGGTCGGTGCGTGTGGTTACTTGCCTCTCCGCTGACGTGTGGGAGGGAACGTAACGGGGAGCTGCGAACGCCACTGCTGCTGCCCTCGCGTACAGAATCTCACCTGTCGAACGGCGACGGGGAACGGGGGGGGGGGGAGGGAGGGAGGGGGCGGATTCCGATGCGAGTGGGGGCCGCAGGTCCACGCCGCACTCCGCTAAAACACTCCAGTCCTGCGCGACCGATCGTGGCCAAGTGCCGCCTGGCGGCTCGCGGTCGCTCGGCCCCGTGCTCTGGTGCCGGGCTCGGAGTCTGGCAGGTTGGCTCACGGACGTATCCTCATCGTCATCGTCAGCCATCATCAATCCACTGCTACACGAAGGCCGCCTCCTCGCGGTCTCGTAACACGACAATCTGTGTCGCTCCCACCCACGAGCCGATCTCTCTACCGTCATCCCCTCGCGTGGTGCGGCTGCCTCCGGATCACTCTGGTGTCCCACAACAACGCTATGATGCACGCCCAATTGGAACTGCTCAATTGGCTCTCCCGAGAGCAAGAGTTTCGGAACTCTCATGCCCCCTTCCCATGAACCCGCGGGGGAACGCGAAGCAGACTGATTCGCGAATAGGAAGAGCGGGCCCCGGCATGGAGCACAACGACCGCTGGCCGTCGCAGGCCGAACCGGCACAGGCGGGGCCCGGGCGGCTCGCTCGCGGCGTCGGCTTCTTCGTCTCGGAGTGGCGCGCGGCGGGAGGTGAACGTGTCGCCCTGTTCGTGGCCACCGCTCGCTCCCCGGTCGTCCGTGGGAAGGTCATCCGGGTTTGCCCATCAACCCTGCCCAATTGCGGCTTTTAGCGCGCACGCACCGCTTTACTCCGAGCTGCTCCTCGCTCGTCCAAGGGTCTGTGACTCGGCCGATTAGTTTAAGGTGGCGGTGAAGGCCCTTGGCGCCGTGTGGCTCTGAACAAAATTGGGACAAGAAACGAGCCAAGAGCTGCCCAGTGCTGCCTCGCACGGCTCGCGATTGCTTCCCTGCGCTGCATCAGGGGAGGCGGGGGAGGCTCTCCTCCACGAATAAATTACGTTGTTATTGCCATGATTACCGTGGGCGAATTGGCACGGCTTCTGACGGCCCACGGTCTCACCCGGGGCTGCTCGAGCGTCGCTAATGAGTCGCGCTTTCATTTGTTGATGGCGATCGATTTGCGTCAACGCTCAAAAGCAATTTGCCTGGGATTTTTTTTCTAAATTATTTTTTATTGTTTTTTTTTTCCATTCAGAAGTCTTTTATTGTTTGAGCTCGGCCGGCTCATGGTCACGTCGACCCGCAGCGATTCCACATGGCGACGGCCGAGTGGGGCGCGAGGCCGAGGCGGCGCGACCGTTCGCTTCTCGGTCATCCGCACGGTGCCGGCGCCGGGCGTCCCTCCCGGGGTCGCGGTGTGAAGTCTTCACTGCTCCTGGCGCGCCCATGCGCAGCGGCGGAGAAGCCCCGTGCGGCCCTGTGTCTGTTGTTTGACGCAGGCGATGAGGAGCCGTCTCCTCCGTCGTCTCGACCTTTAATCCCGTCACGACCTTTGACCCCGGAGAGGGGACGGCACTTCGCTGCCGGACACTCAGCGTGCATCACTCGCTGGATGTTCGGCCGGGAGCGCCTTCTGGTCGGAGCCAGGCTCCCCTTGGCAACGGCTGACGCAGGCCCGACGCCGTAAAGCCCCGAGCGGTGCGCTGGGGGATCGTTACTTTTTATTGTGTGTGTTTATGAAAACACAGGCGAAAAGAAAACTTGTGAAATGAGAGACCGCTGCTTCAGCCTGACGTTTCACCTCCCGACGGGGGACGACCGTCACAAAACCACTCCTCGTGGACGGCTCCCACAATCCCCTCCGCTGCCCAAGTGGTTTTGTTTCCATCTGCTCCCACATTGTTCCAGGCGTAATTGCAGACGTTACAAACCACCACCCCGCCCCCCACTTCCCCGCACCCCCACTGCAACGCATCCCGCGTCGGGCCCGCGGGGTGGTGGGCCAGGCCCAGTCTCCGTGGTTACATCGCAGGGAAGAGTTGGGGGGGGGGGACGGTAGAATCGGTGACTTTCCCGACGCCCCACGTTCGGCGACGCTGAAGCCGACGTGGGGAAGGCTCCGCGCAGTCTCAGAGCGCGCGGTGGTGGTGGTGGTGGCGGTGGTGGTGGCGGCGGTGGTGGCGGCGGTGGTGGTGGTGGTGGCGGTGGTGGTGGTGGCGGTGGCGGCGGTGGTGGTGGTGGCGGCGGCGGTGGTGGTGGTGGCGTTGGTGGCTCAGCGGAACCCAGAAACGTCCCCAAATTGGAAAGCTTTTTAGACGGAGCCCGACGTGAATAATGAAACAGGTGAAAACGTTCAATGCATTTCCTCTGCTAAAAGTAAAAAAAGTAAGGCGTTGTCAGGGTCTCAAGGTAGTCGAGGGGAGAGGGGCAGGGGGGGATCACCCGATTGACCCCCCTCCCTTCCCCGGATCCACCACTCGCATCAGCAGCACGTCCTGTAGTTGGCTTTTTGGGGCCATCTAGATATTTATTTAGTAATTTCACTCATTTTTTTTTTCCTAATTTTAATCGTGCCATGAGTCAAGCGGCCAGGCCGAAACCTCCGACATCTGGCGGTGCACCACCCCGTGTCAGAGAACGGCCCGTGGAAGATGACGTCACAGAAGTACTTCCGAAGAAGCCGCTCCCCGGGAGGGCGCACCCCTCCACATGCCCTGCAGAGAGTGCCCGTCGCGCGGCAATCAAAGCGACATGTGCGATTCTCGGAGCTGGAATTCGGCCAATTTGCGAACGGAACCCAATTGAGAATTCGACGGAGTGGCTCGTGAAGTCGCCGGTGTGCGGGCTGAGCGAGTCGCCACGCTGGAGACCCTGCAGTTAACATCTCACCACAGTGGAGAGATGTTAACTACCTCGCCTGGTATACAGGAGGTCGTAGGCTCGATCATGACCCTGATGCCTGTATATTTGGAGTTTGAATGTCTCCCTCCCCGTGGTCGCGTGGATTTTTCTCCGGGTGCTCCGGGTTTTCCCTCCACGTTTAGAAACATGCATTTAGATTATTTGGCTGCTATAAATTTCCACGTGATGATATACGCCACTTCGTTGAGCTATCATTTGTGGCCAGGTCGCTTCTGAAAAAGAGCTATATAGCAGCTCAGTGAGCCTTACCTGGTAAAATAATAAAAATTGTTTAAGTTTAGTTTAGTTTGACGATGGGCGGCTGCAACCTAGATTCGAACCCTGGACCTGAGTGCCGTGACTCCTGCTGCAGCCAACTTAAGGTTCAAATTTTTTATCTTCGAACAAGAGGAGTCCAGCGCACAGGAGGAGCTCACAGAACTCACTACCAGATGCTCTCTTAAATTATGAATGATGCGATGAAAGATAAAAGTTGTGATGGTGGTGATGCGTACGGGTGAAGATGCGGTGATGGTGGTAATGGTGGCGATGGTGGTAGCGATGAGAGTAACTGGAGTGGTGGTGCTGCTGTTGATGGTGGTGATGTCTGTGATTGGCGGTGATGGGGAAGGTGGTGATGGTGATGACGGTGGTGATGTTGATGTCGGGGCCCAGGTGCGCATGGCCAAGACGGAGGAGGAGCGGGCGTCTCTGCGTCTGCGCAGTCTGCAGCGGCTGGAGCGCTACATCTACCTGATCCTCTACAACACCTACCTGCACCTGGAGAAGGGCTCGCACTGGGACCGGCCCTTCTCCCTCTGGATGAGCCAGGTGCGGCTTGACAAACGATGACGACGATGACGACGACGGGGATGATGGTGATCACGGCAATAATTATGATGGTGATGATGATGACTGACAGTGATGATGATGATGGTGAAGATGATTGTGACGCCGATGACGAGTGATGACGACAATGACAGTAATGATGATGATGATGATTACAACGCCAATGAAGACAGTGATGATGGTGACAATGACAGCGATGATGATGACGATGAAGATGAGGACGACGACGATGATGACGGCGATGAGGATGACCACGGTGATGACGTCGGTGACGTCCCAGGTGGCCGCGCGTGCCGGGGTCTATGACCTGCTGGACCGGCTCGGCTTCGCAGAGTTCGAGGACCCCGAGTCGTCTCCGCTGTGCCGCCTGCGCCACCGCTGGCGCCACCGCTACCCACGCACGCTGCCGCCCCGCGGGGAGTTCAAGTGACGCGGCGTCCCGCGCGCAGCCACATCCCCGCCGCCGGGAGGCATCGACGACTGCCCGCCGCGAGCCGAGCCGGGCGACGCGAGGGCGAGACCGCGCGGGCCGGCGGTGCCGGCAACGTCGACGGCCACCGCTGCCACCGTGGCGAGGAAGAACGCGGCCTCTTACTCAGCGTGTCCGCGGGTGATCGGGCCGAGCCGTTTGCGTGAGATGCGTTGGCTGGTGGGACGCTCCGGGGTGAGTTGGCGCGGAACGCCTCGTGCCCGGCAGCAATCCCGAGGGTCGCTCTCGGGGCGGACGTTTGGTAGCACTTTCCGCTTCCAAGAAAACGAGCGTGGCATCTGCACTCGAGCTGAGCGCGGCTTCGGTCCACCCGTCGAGCCGCTGCATGATGACGTCTCTCTGGCAGTTCCGCTGCAGGCGAGCGGAGCCGACACGAGGTGACGGCGTTGGTGGGAACTCGCTCCCCTGCACTGCGTCGCCACGCACGCGTGACTTCTCCGTGACCTGCCCTCCTCCCCGGGACCATTTTGTGACCTGAATTTAACCCCTCTGTACCCTGCTCGTATAATTATTATGGCAGTGTTGCTTATGCGATGTTAGCTTCCGGTGTTGTTGTTTTCGTCCGTGATTTTGAGCGTTATTCCTCATGAATGATGTCCTCCTCGTTCTCGCGTTCCACTCCTACTGGCATCTACCAGCGCTCACGCAGGCTCCAGTATGTTCTGCTAAAAGAGTTTTCAAAGGTGACCGCGGCGACAATATATACAAATGTTCATTTTTGTCATTGACGGTGACGCAGAGCAGCCAGCGAGCGGCAAAAAGAGCCTTTGCGGTGATCGCGCTCGAGATGAGAACCGACGCCTTCCTTGGATCGACCGACGAGGTTACGGGAACTTGGGGAGAGAGACGACGATGGGTGACGACGGCAGATTTGCAACACGGGACACGTCCCACTGAGAGAGGGGCACGCCACCACTGTCATGCCACATGGGCAGCAACGGGCAGCGTCGGTGACCGGCTGCGGTGCCGTGGTCAGCACACTGGGCTTACGATTCCGTCTCCCGGCACGGCAGCTTTTAAACGATGGGACCAGTTTCTCGAATCCTCCCTCTTCCTCCTCCTCCACCACCACCGCCTCTGTCCACCCAGGCTGCAGCGGAGACGGCTGCCCCTCCATCCCAGCTTAAATAGTCGCTCCAAGCCTGGGGCTTGTCATTGAGACTCTGTCTCCTCGACAGACCTGTTCTCCACCTGAGGACGGCTACTTGCGTTGTAGCCGAAACGTCGTGAGAATTATTTTATTGTGTTTTATTTTTATTATTTTATTATTTCCATTCTACGTGACTTTACCGAAAGAACCAAGAAGAGGCTGCACCGCAGTTATCCGATCGGCAGGTCACCGCGGAGCGCGGTGGGGGTACAGTGTGAGCACTGCCACCTCTTGCAAGACGTCCGGACGGCGTCGAAGAGTGGGCCAGAAAATATTATCTCGTGGGGACTCTCTCTCTCTCTCTCGAGGGGGGGGGGCCCTTCTCCCAGCAGGGGCACCTAGCGCGCAGTTTCACTTGCCGGGAGCTGCACCTCTACTCTACGCTCCCTAGGAACCTGTGCGGAGGAGGCCTCAATCCAGCGGTGGACGGTTCCCGTAGCGGGAACGTGGCGAGGGAGCCGATGGGAGGGAATTCCACCCGCCGGGCAGCACGAGGAGGCTGCGAGGGAGAGGCGGCGTCACGTCGTCCGTTGGAGCGGCCCTTGCCCTGCGGTGCCCATTGGGACGGCACGGGCGACCCGCTCGGGGAGACCCTCGCTGACACTGGAGCTGCCGTTGCCCGGCGATGGTGTTTATTTGTTTTTCGCGTCCGCACGGCCGTGCCGCTCGTTACATGTTCGTGTGCGTGCGTCCGTTTCCCACGCTGTCAACCCCGACGCCAGTGCCGGTCATCGTGGTCTCGCTCGGCACGTGGTGCTCAAGTTGTTGTTTACCGTCCGTTCGTGCGACTTTGTCGGGACCGCGGTGAATTTCCGATGGGGCCGTCGCTCCGCAGGGCCCACGCGCACTCCACACGTCAAGGTCGGCGCCTCTCCCCCCCCCCGCAAACCGGCGTGTGACCACGGTCGCCACCGGCCCTGAGCCATTGGCGCCAATTCCACGTTCTTATGGCAATCGCAATTCGATTGGCTGCCGAGGGATCTGGGAGGAGCGTTTTTTGTCATTCGCACAGCGGGGAACACGCCCGAGAGGACGTGCACCTTCGGAGATGGAGCGCTGAAAGTGTCGGGAGCAAGACGGATCGTCGTGTCGCGAGACCGTGAGAGGTGGCGATGGCTTGGGGAGGCCTTTCGTCCAGCAGTGGATAGATCAGGGCTGATGATCAATTTCTGCTTTTGTATATACATAGAGAGAGAGAATGATGTGTGTACATATATTTAAAAACATAATCTGTCATAATATATAGGCCGAAAACTAATAATGCGAACGTATAATTTACTTACAAATATACAGTGTGTACACAGTATTTCTACACGTTTGAGCTTAAACTATATTGAAGCGCGACGTCTGATCACTGTGGAGCGTGGCGTGCTTGGCGTAGCCCGGGGGCCGGCCCCCAGTGCAGCTGCACCTGCTGCGCACGCGATGGTTCGTGCCACTGCCCCCGCTCGTCGGAGTGAACCCCGCGCGTGCGGCCAGGCCGAGCGCGTGTGAGTCGATGACCTCGTCGGCGCACCGCTGCGCGATGGACCCGGCGACCAGAGTTGCTGATTTCCAGCCGCGGCGAACGTCGCTAGTGGGCAGAGCTGTTCCGGGGGTACACGGCGAATCGGAGCGACTGCCCCGGGCCCCGCGCTTTGGGGAGGGGGGGGGTGCTTCAATGTCACAGCGTCGGATGTAATACGTCCGGTTCAGATTGAAGGCATCGGGCGGCCCAACACGGTGTGTGAGTTGCCCCGGGCCCCGCCGCCCCCCATGCGGCCGGCCCTGGTGGCGGTGACATCTGCCCTGACCCTGGTGGTGGTGGTGACACCTGCTCTGACCCTGGTGGTGGTGGTGGTGACATCTGCACTGACTCTGGTGGTGGTGGTGACACCTGCCCTGACCCTGGTGGTGGTGGTGACATCTGCACCGACTCTGGTGGTGGTGACACTTGGACCATTCACGCGATTTTCCTTCACTGACGCTCATTGAGCAGCGGATTTGGCAACACGGTAATTAACTAACAGAGATAACATCCGTCTGGCAAGGTGATGACGATGTTATGAATATTTGAAGAGAGATTGGCAAACTGAGGCCTCTCCTTTACAAGCCCTCACCGACCAGCGTGGTGAAGTATGGTCAAACAACCTGCATGAGTGACATGACGTGGGGAGGCCTTCATCCAGCAGCGGAGCGACTTAGAACTGTGAATTTGATATATATTTTATTGAATGGGTACTTCTAGTTAAACATCACGCAATGACACGTGCGTTACGAAAAAATAGCTCGTGCGCTTACTGTGCTTGAAGCCAAATGCATTGCGTGAGCCAGCCCCAAACCTGACCCCAGGCGGGTCTCCAACCCGGACACCGACTCTTCGGCGCGTGCGTGTGTGTGCGTGCGTGTGTGCGCGTGTGTGTGCGCGTGTGTGTGCGCGTGTGCGTGCGTGTGTGTACGTGCATGTGCGTACGTGCGTGTGTACGTGCGTGTGTGCTCGTGCGTCTGTGCGCGTGTGTATGTGCGTGCGTGTGTGCGTTTGTGTGTGTGTGCGTGTGTGTGCGCGTGCGTGCGTGTGTGTGTACGTGTATGTGTGTGCGTGTGTGTGCGCGTGTGTGTGTGTGTGTGCGTGTGTTTGCGCGTTTGTGTGTGTGCGTGCTGTGTGCGTGCGTGCGTTGTGTATATATAAACGTGCCCGCGTGTGTACTTTGTGAAAAACGTCCGTGTCACCTTCGCTTCCACGCGCGCGCGTTTCTCGTCGTGTTATCCAGCAGGGCCACGCTGGCTCTCATGGCTCTCACTTCAGGAGGGGCTCCCGTGATCCACCGACCCTTCAAAGCATCGGGTAACGGGCATGCGCCACTCCGCGCATTTCAGTTTCAGCCGGTTGCGCTTTTCGAGCGCCCGCGTGTGAGTTTTTATTTCTCAGTATCGAGCAGCCTCAACCCAGCTCGGCTTCCACGATCCGACGAGAGCGGGCGCGTTCGGGGTCACATGGTCGAAGGCCGCCATCCGATAGCAGCTAGGCAGAGCGCCTCGACCTCGAGAGACAAAAAACCGTCCACTCAGTGGGCCTGACCGCCTGAGCCGCCTCCCGGAGGATGCTTCAACGTTTGAACATTTATTTACTGGGCATCTGTGAAAAAGAGTTTGAAAGCTCATCGGATTCCTCCAGTATAAGTAAATGTTCTGATTCTGAACGCAGTCTGTGCAACTGCTGCAACATTGATCCTCCAGAAAATGACATTCTTAAAAATCTATTTCTATTATGATTATCATTGTTGTGAAGCAATTCGCCCAGCGTGGGTGCGATGACTATCCTGGCGTCGAGGAATGGTTACATCGACCGTAGGGATGATGATGATGATGACACAACTTCCCCGTGCGGCTACACGAGCTGAAACTCAATGACCGGAAAAAAAATGAAATCGGATTATGGGTTTTTGCTCGGCTTAGAAGTGACATCGTGCAGACAATGTGAGGAGGAGCAAGCAGGCGGGGCCCTTTGAGAATGCCGATTCTAAGTGGGACGCGCCAACGCGCGCTGTGAGGTTTGCCACGCTACACAGAGCAAGGAGCTAGCGACCCGTGACCCAGCAGCAACCATGATCTGTTCACTGCTGGATGCAGGGTCTCTTTCATCCCGAATGGTCCCATGATGCCATGAGATCCATCTCACCCCTCCTTGCACGTAAGCTGATGCCATCGCTCCGTTATTTTCTCCTTCGGCTGCCGTTCCATCACCAGCCTCGTTCATCGGGCCATCGTCCCTGCTGACGGACGATCACGCGTCCTGCCTAAACCCGATTGTCCTTCTCCGTATGGGCTGACTCGTTTTGCTTCTTTGCTCGCTCCACAGACGTTGTTCCGTGTCGCCAAGTGGCCTCGTGTGTTTTTTTAGCCACGTGTGTCAGCTGGCAGCGTGCGCCGAATTAAAATCTTCCACTGCAAGGCCCCCCGCGCCGCCCATCGTGCACCGCCGCTTCCCATTAGCGCCCCCCCCCCTCTTGCCCTCGTCCACCACGTCTGCTATTCCATTGTATTGATCACGACCCCTCCAGCTATCCTGGCTCTGGGTGCACACATTGTGTGCGCTGCGTTTGAATAATTATTTACAATTTTAAAAGAGATTACTTTGTGACGATGCCGCTGCTGCTGCGTCGGCAGCGGTGCACAAACAACAAAAACTCAACGCGTTCATCAACAGCACTGTGACCTTGAAGGGAAAAAATATATATATAGTAGGCGACGTTGCAGGCAATGAACCTTCTTCCAGCACATAGCACTTTATGTTCCAGGCAATGGTTCTTCGTGGTACGCAAAATGTTATGGCCGATGAAGAAGGGTGATTGCCTAAAACGTCGCCTACATATCTTTTTCCACGTTGAGGCCACACACCACGGTACTTTTGACAAACGTGTCAGGTGCTTTGTTTAGAAATGCGTGGCACGGTACTTTCGTTTCGCTCTTGAGTTCAACTGTAATTTTGTTTGTATCGATTTCAAGATTTCATCCGGAAAGTCCCCTCCAGATGGAGAATCTCATCCGCAAAGACGTCGTCCTGCGTGTATGGCAAACCTGTTACGACAAAGATCCCCCAGATAGCCTCAAGAGATTGTTGGGGCAAGTGCTGTTAGCGAGCAGCACCTATGAAGGCCGGGACGACACACGAGGGGGTGGGTCGCCAACACCACGCCCGGCCGCCTTTGTCTTCCCAGTGGCGATGTTTACACAACGCACCAAGTACTCATTTGAGGCTGAGTCGACCTAGGGGAGGCCCACGACCGGTTCAGATAATCACCACCGGTGTTAGCCGTGAGCGGGAATCGAACTCGGTTCGCCGGGTTCGTAGCGCGGCGCGCTAACCGCTGCGCCGCCGCTCCTCGTCTGTAGCGGCACGGGCACACGCAGGAGCACGCACGAGAACGACCCCACGCTCCACGCGGGGTACGGTCTCCCCCCCACGTTACTGCGCCGCTGCACTGAACCTGTGTCGGCAGGCCGCTCCACGCGAGACGGACGCAGCGCGCCGGGACGCACCTGCGCTGATGCTCAGCAGCCGCACCTGCAGCGGTCGTAGCCGTCCCCCGCCAGCACGCGGGGCTGCTGTTGCCCGCACGTCGAACGCGAGGCCGGATTTTGGGGGTTTATGGGTTTCGGGCGATGTGATTGGCGCGCGCCAGGCACCGTGTGGTGCTGCCGCCGCCACCACCGCCGCCGTTGGAAGCGGATCGCGGATGAAATGTTACTTATATAAATAAATATATAACTTGTGATTATCTTTTCCCTTCTCTCGACACTCGAAGTATTTTGGTATGGATCGAGCCGTGCTGGAGATTCGGGAGACACTTTTTTTTTGTTAATGCAAAATGTCATAAATGCAAAAGACATAAAATGTAAATGGCACGAACATAGCGTTTCGCTTTATTCTCGGGAATTTAGCATCCTGGGGAGTCCTGCAACGTCGCCAATTCAAGGATGGGCTTCCAAGAGAGTCCTCGCTCGATTAAATTCATCAGCCCTGGCAGAAAAAAAGAGAGCGAGAGAGAGTGCGAGTTGCGGTGGCATTGGTCGCGGTGACCGCTTGACCTCGTCCTTGACGCGTCGGTGAAGTTGTGGAGCGGTTCGCGTCCTCGCGTCGTCATCGCCAGGAGAGGAGGCATCTCGGCCAAAGGACTCCCGAGTTAAAATCATAAACAGAGTAAGAGTGCAGACGCAAAGGACACCGTAATAACCACAAGTACAGAACGAAATGGAACGCAGCAGTCAACACTAAGCACACGGTTGCAATGTTTTAACGTGGGATTCGAGCGATGGTAAAAAAAAAGTAATTCGGTGCAGACATATAGACTTTCACAACATTCCAAACACATTCGCACTGTCCGGATGATTGCGCAACGACCTGCTCGCCCGACATCCCAGCGAATTTCAGTCCGAAGAAAAAGCAACGCGATTCAACATTTTTCATAGTCATCCGTGTTGGAACGCCTGGGCCGTGGTTCACGCGAGTTTGAGTCCTGGCCATGACCAACATGAGTGGTGAGTGGCGTCTGAGCCTGTTCTCGACGCTCCAACCTCACCAACCCGCACTGACCAGCGTGGTGAAGTATGCTCAAACAAACCCCTTGACTGACATGGGATGGGGAGGCCCTCATCCAGCAGTGGATTCATCAAGGGCTGTAAATCCGTTTTTTTTAAATTCAAGTTCCATAAGTAAAATGCGGTTCGTCTCCCCGCCCAAATGAGGTTGGGTGGTACTCATCTCCGTGGCCGGGTGTGGATATTCCACATTCATATGGCGGGAAAGAAGTTAGAATGCAGATCCAGAAGGTCACAATGCCATCCTGTTTGTCGTCCCGATGATGTTTGACGGAGTCTCAATGAGACTTCGCTGAGAAAATAACGCTTTGGCGCATCGCTACCCGCTTGTACGCAAGGACAATTCAATTTATTTGGTTTCGTCGGGTGGTGGAGGGCATTGACGACACAAATCGGGTCAGACCAAACAACAATTACGAATCATCGTGTTTGCCCGTGACACTCTACGTGTAAAATTAATGCACTTTGGGACACATTACAAAATGTTTATATTCAGTTGTAGATGTAATTCATTCTGCGTCCGTAGAATTATGAAACACGATGGCTCATGTTTTTCACTCTTGGCTCAGTCACGTGGACGAGATTTTCTTCCGTGAGACGTGGCAGAGTTCATCCGCCGCGGCCCATCCCAGCGCTGCCAAGCCACATCTATTTGTGCATCACAAAATGCCAAACATTTGGGACAGAAAGTCATTTTTTTTCTTATTATTCATTATTATTGCTCCGTTTGTTTACCCAGGAAATCCTCACCGAGTGTCAGGACTCATTTTCGGGAGGATCCTGCCACGTCTTGGCAGTAAAAGGAGGAGGGGAGGGCGTGATGTCGCTGCTGTGTGTGATCTCAATTAAATCATTTGCAGGCAAGTTTTGGGCATTGGGTGGTTTTGGTCAAAACCAGCTATGGGAGGAGACCGGAGAACGCGGAGGAAACCCCGCGCAGAACGGGGGGACAACGAACAGAGACGTGTGCGTGTGGCACACGAGTGCGCTGTTCCATCCAGAGTGCCAAACGTGGCTTTGCAACTGCGTACGGCGGAAATTGTCACATGTTGTTGTCATTGCTCGCGATTGGGTTTTGTGTTTTTTTTTCCCCTCTGGCAAAACACAAACCACGCGTTGTTGCGAGCAGTAATATCGGGTTAAGGGGTGACTCGTTCTCCGAGGCAGCAGTGCCACGTTTCAGACGAGTGGATTTGTAATTTGATTTCTGCATCTGTCGATTGCCGATGGAGACGTTAGATTCGGGAGGGAATGTTTGTAACCGTCCTTTTATGAAGTTGCAGCGCTGCGGGGTGCGGTGGGGGGGGGGGATAGGACAGAAAATCGTTTGAATAAAAATGTGTGGAACATCAATAAAACCACAGCACAGCTTGTGCTCAAATTCTCAAAAGATAAAGTCCAATTATTCGGGAAGAAAAAAAAAATCTGCTGCTTTCAATTTTCGATCTTGGCTCCACTTTTTTTTCTCCTCGTATTAAAAAAAAAGCACCAAACCGGCGCAACGGTTTGCAGAGAGAGAGAGAGAGCCGGCGGCGGATGTGTACACGTGCGCAAAAAAACAAACGCGCACCCATCAGACTTTGTAAAACAAGCGATTGTCATGTTTGCTTCACCGTAGCTTCGGGCCTCGCTTGGCACGGACGTCAGCCGCGTTGAGTTGGAGCAGTAAAAGCCGTTCTCGGGAGCACCGCGGACAGCTGCCCACGGGAGAGCAAAAAACCTCCGTCAGTCATCATCAGACAGCTCGCCGCAAATCCCACATCCAGCCATCGGGAACCTCGCTGCTTCCCACCCACCCCCGCCTCCCCCCGCTCAAGGAGCGAGCTGAGCTGCCGAGCATCGTATCCGAACCGGCCAGGCTTAGGTTTTTTCGGTATAGTCACGTAGGTAAAAAATTAAAATTAATAAAAGTAAAATAAATAAAAAAAATCACGACGTTTCGGAAGCAACACAAGCTTCCGTCTTCAGGTGGAACCGTCACAGCCACGACAGCTGTAGCAAGTAAATGAGAAATTCCAAGAGATACTACCCCGTATATATACGGGGCAGTAGTTCCACCTGAAGACGAAAGTTGGTGTTGCCTCCGAAACGTCGTGATTTTTATTTTAGTTTTATTTTATTTTACTTTTATTAATTTTAATTGTAATTTTTTACCTACGTGACTTTACCGAAAAAAACCTAAGAATATGAATCCTTGCAGTCACGAAAGTTTCACATCTCAAATCACCATTTTGCACGAACGGAAAATCAAAAGAATCGTCTAGAAGCGACTGCGACGCGCCCGCGTCGTGAGCTGCGAGCGGCCTCTCCGAGGGCACCGCTCCACCTGCTCTGACGCCGGCAGCTGGATTCGCGGCTCAGTTCACGTCCATATTAGAGGAGGAAGAGGAGGCCAAGGTGATTTCGCCAAAGTCTTTGAGGCGCCTCCCCGGCACTGAGTGGGCACCGTCGTCATCTTCGCTCAGCAACTCGTGGTGATCACCAGATCCCTCCGCGCACTCGGAGAGCGAGGTTTGGATCTCGCCGCTTCGTAGTCAGTGGTCCATTGGTCTGGAACTCACCTACCCCCTAACTCACCTACTCACCCTTTCACTCACCTACTCACCCTCTCACTCACCTACTCACCCTCTCACTCACCTACTCAGCCTCTCACTCACCTACTCACCCTCTCACTCACCTACTCACCCTCTCACTCACCTACTCACCCTCTCACTCACCTACTCACCCTCTCACTCACCTACTCACCCTCTCACTCACCTACTCACCCTCTCACTCACCTACTCACCCTCTCACTCACCTACTCAGCCTCTCACTCACCTACTCAGCCTCTCACTCACCTACTCAGCCTCTCACTCACCTACTCAGCGGTTCATAGGCCTGGAACTCACCTACCCTGTCACTCACCTACTCACCCTCTCACTCACCTACTCAGCGGTCCATCATTCCGATACTCACCGACTCTCTCACCCACCGACTCACCCATCCACTCACCTACTCAGCGGTCCATCAGTCTGCAACTCACCAACCCTCTCGCTCACCGACTCACCCATCCACTCACATACTCAGCGTTCCATCAGTCTGCAACTCACCAACCCTCTCGCTCACCGACTCACCCATCCACTCACATACTCAGCGTTCCATCAGTCTGCAATTCACCAACCCACTCGCTCACCGACTCACCCACTCAACGGTCCATAATCCTGGAACTCACCGACTCTCTCACCCACCTACAGACATTTAACCAGTTCAGTAGAACATGCAAGGCAGAAGTGTTTAATAGAGCTTACGATGCACGAATATTGTGCACTCGTGATAACCTAGGGTACAAGAGTTCCGCTTTATAAATGTACGTACTTACTTGCTGGGGTCACAACCGAAAGAGGGCACCCCCCGCCCCCCGAACCCCCTGTAGATGTAACCTCATCGGTCCTCGCTGTGAAATCTCCCCATCAAAATAAACACAACTGATATATAACGATGTGTTTTTTTTATCATTTGTTTATCTATCTATCTATCCAGGAAAGCCTCACTGATGTTCAAGAGAGATGTGCCCATTGGAATTTGACGTCACGTGGCTTCGTACGGGAGAACGAAGAGGAATCCGCCCCCGCATACAAGGGGGGGCGGAGGGGGTGACCGTCAAAGATCCGCAACAGACTCGAGAATCCGTTTTGCTGTGCCGTGGTGATCTTCTGGCCCACGTCACAGCACCAAGACTACAAACAACCGGCTGCTATTCCTAGGCAGCGTCCCATCCGGGTCCTGAGCAGTGTTGTCCTGCTCGGGCTGAGACTGGCGTCACGTCGCGACCACGAAGCGTCGACGCGGACCTCTCGCGCGGACCCCGGGGCCAGCTACCTCGCAGGGTAAAGTTGGCCACAGGCAACGCCAGTGACCTAATAACACATTCCTCCTGCGGAGGGAGCTGGTAGGAACGTTGGGTTGCTCGGTCAATGGCCTGCAGGGTCAACGGCGGCGTGGTGTATTCCGCAAATATGGCCGACTATGAGGGCGGGCACAAGCCGGCGTTAGTAGGTTAAACGTTGAGTTTTATAAGGGCACCACGGGGTGACCAGCTCCTCCCCACCCAGCCCCACCCCTCCCACTCCCCACCCAGCCCCACCCTCCCCACCCAGCCCCACCCTCCCCATCCAGCCCCACCCTCCCCACCCAGCCC